GTTGTGTGGTAACAGATATGTCAGATATATTAAATGAGTTCTCGAAAATGTCTGTTCCAATTATTAACCTTTTATGGATAGATTTGATTTGGAGAAATTTAGAGGCTAACCTTTTCAGTGACGTGTGCAATTTATTTTCTTTTTATTGCAATATTTATGATGGAACAAATGTAACGAGTATCTTCTTTTTTAATTTGAATATCTATGGCAGAATGAATGTGACATAAAAGTGACTTAATTTTTTAAAAAAATTCCAATATCTTGTGATGGAAAAAATATGAAAATTTAGTGAATAACTTTTTTTAAAATTTCAATATTTATGGCAGAATAAATATGACATGAATGTAACTTAATTTTCTTTCAAATTCCAATATTTGTGATGGAAAAAATATGAAAACGCAGTGAAACACTTGTTCAAGAGAAACAGTATAATTTCTACGGATTTAAAACGAGTAGAATACAATTGCACAAAGAAATTGAATCAGTTGTTTCTAATTTTCGAGAAATGTCGATGTCGGTGATTCCCAAGTTAACGCGTACGGCAATTAGAAAGTTGGACAGATTAAGGAAGGATTCATGATTTCTCACGGGTAGTCGTGGTTGCTTCCGTTGGCTGCTCACGTTCACAATAAAATAGGCCCTGGCCACGCGTGATCCGACAGCTTTCTCTCCCAGCACACGCGATCATGCTTAAAATTTATTTGATTTCACGAGGGAATTGAACCGCCTTATCGTCGCCTTTCTCTCCCTTCCACGTCGCTCGATCGATCCACCCTCGTTTCCTATTGTTTATCACGACGACCTCTTCCAGCGGGGGAAACAGATAAAGCTTACAAATTGTCCATATTTTTTTCTTCGAAATTACGACCAGTTGGATGCTGGGAGATTGTGGAAGGGTGATAAGTGAGGATGGAGAGGTTGGCTTTTTAGAAGTGTTTCTACGGTGATCTGGTTTTTGGATACGTTGTGAAAAGAATAGGAGCAAGTTTTTGCACGGTGTGAAAAAGTAAATAAGCTTTATTTATTTTAAATAAATATTATTTTAAAAAGTAAAGAAACTTTATTTATTTATCTTCGAAATCAATGAAGGATTTAAATTTGAAGAAAGAATGTATCTTGTTTTAAAAAGCAAAGAAGCTTTATTTATTGATTTTTAAAGGAAATAGAGAACTTAAATTTAAGGAAAGCAAATTTATATTATTTTAAAAAGTATACAAACTTTATTCATTTTTTTCATTTGAGAGAATTGTCATCTTTAACGTGTAACATTTACATTTATCTATTTCACGGGAAGTAAAATAAAGTAATTAGGTAAAACGTTACAGTTTTCAATTGCACCTTGAAGAAATTCCATTTTTGATTAAATAATCCAGCTGACAGGTTAAAAGGAATTGTTCGAGTATTTATGCTCTGTCGTCCATTCATAATTTCGTTAATTCTGTTGGAGACAACAGGATAGAAGTCCCGTCGAACGTTGAATCAGAGAATTGTATAATCCTTTCGTTTAATTACAAAGGCGTCGAGTGAAGAAAGGACAAAGGAAAGGGAAAGATAGTAGAAGATACAATTACGATCGTAAGAAGAAACTTTCCTGAAGATTTTTCGCTCTATTACCCAATTTTATCGTCTCTACTTAATATTGTATCATTGTACGCGTTATAATTGACGGAATGGAATTATTCCGCGGAGAATTATCGCCTTTCGCTTCGTGGTAACGTTTAATCTGTCTTGAATGGTGCTTTCACGTTTTATTACTCGATTCCGTGGTGTTTCTCGCGCGGTAAGTACACGTGTTGGCAGAAGAGTCTGAGTTAATTTGAATTTGTCGTGGCTCGACAGAAGAGGCATCGATCTAATTGAAAATTCTGTTCTTGTTCCAGGTATTACGCGATAGTTCACCCGATGAGGGCGCAGTACACGTGCACGATCAGTCAAGCGCGGAAAATAGTGATCATCACTTGGGTCGCGTCCTTTCTCCTTGGCATCCCGATGATTTTCACTCAGGTAGACTTGTTTTAGTTATGATTTTTTTTTGGTTTTTGGTGGACGTGGGTGTTGCGGGTGAAGGAATTTTTGAGTATTTTGCAAATTTTTGGAAGTGAGAAACTTTGCGAAATTTAGGAATTGCGAATAAGGAAACTGCGAAATTTGGGAATTCGGAATAAGGGAAGTTTGCAAAATTTGGGAATTGCGAATAAGGAAACTTTGCAAATTTTGGAAATTGGGAATAAGGAAACTTTGCAAATTTTGGAAATAGGGAATAAGGAAACTTTGCGAAATTTGGAAATTTGGAATAAGGGAAGTTTGCGAAATTTGGGAATTCGGAATAAGGGAAGTTTGCGAAATTTGGGAATTCGGAATAAGGAAACTTTGCAAATTTTGAGAATTCGGAATAAGTAAACTTTGCGAAATTGGGGAATTCGGAATAAGGGAAGTTTGCAAAATTTGGGAATTCGGAATAAGGAAACTTTGCAAATTTTGAGAATTCGGAATAAGGAAACTTTGCGAAATTGGGGAATTCGGAATAAGGAAACTTTGCAAATTTTGAGAATTCGGAATAAGTAAACTTTGCGAAATTGGGGAATTCGGAATAAGGGAAGTTTGCAAAATTTGGGAATTCGGAATAAGGAAACTTTGCAAATTTGGGGAATTCGGAATAAGGAAACTTTGCGAAATTTGGGAATTCGGAATAAGGGAAGTTTGCAAAATTTGGGAATTGCGAATAAGGAAACTTTGCAAATTTTGGGAATTCGGAGTAAGGAAACTTTGCAAAATTTGGAAATTGGGAATAAGGAAACTTTGCGAAATTTGGGAATTCCGAATAAGGGAAGTTTGCAAAATTTGGAAATTGGGAATAAGGAAACCTTGCAAATCTTGGGAATTTGGAATAAGGAAACTTTGCGAAATTTGGGAATTCGGAATAAGGGAAGTTTGCAAAATTTGGAAATTGGGAATAATACAACGTCACCAAATTTAGAAATTCGGAATAAGGAAACTTTGCAAAATTTGAAAACCGCGAATAAAAAAACCTCGCCAAATTTGAGAATAAGCAAAGAAAAAATTTCGCGAAACTTCAGAGTTGTATATGCTAAAATTTTACCACCCACAAGAACGCGAAATACTCACAATCAATTATCAGATTTCCCTCTGCCACGAAATACTCTTTAAATTAAACTCATCCTGAACAAAGTAATCAGCTTGATTGATCTTTAATCTCCTTACGGACTCTACCAGCGGTCACAGCCAGTTATCAATCCTCCGTACCAAACGCAGTAATACTCCATTTCCATCCAGAAGCCACATACCCAGTCTCCACTTCCCATTTCTCATACTCCATTTACACAACTCACTATTCCATGCAACCGCCTACTATATCTAAACCTGAATATTCCAGCTAAAAAAATCCTTTATCACAGCGTTGAAAAGCTACCCTCTGCACACAAAGAAAAAAAAAAAAGAAAAATGAAGAGAAATCGAGCGCGTATAATATCCCGCAAAGAAAAAAAATTCTCCCCTTTTCTTCCTCATTTTCTCCATCTCTACGTTCACGTTATTTCAAAGCGGGCAAACAATCGATTACCAACCTCTCATAATTACTCGTCCCGCTTTTGTACCAACACTTTTAATTGCGTCCAGATTCTTCTACGGTCACAACGTCAACCTCCTCTCTCCTTTATCATTTCTTTCCCCTCCCCCTTTTTACTTTCCAGACGAATCACATTCATCCGCGAATGCACGTTGATACATAACTGAAAACTCGCGAATCGTAAGTTGTTACCTTTTAGCGGCGTGGAAATCTTTCTCCTTTCCACGCGGGACAATGGAACGGAGGAATTAAAATGGGAACAGTAAGGTAAATCGTGCAAGCGTGACGATAAAACGGCCTCGTACGACCGTGGAAAGTATAATAGTATCGCGTTGCCTGGTGAATGTGTTTGAAATAGTTTAATAAACGTTCTGTATATCGGGTCGTAAAGGCAAGAGGAAATGTCGCGTTACGCCTCGGCTCGACGATTGTCGGGCTAGGAATATCGAACGACGAATTTCTTCGATAGGAAGCAGCTTTTTGTGCCAGACGAGCTCTGCAATTTGACGAGGGGTTTGCATACGATTGATGGTTAGCTTGGGCAATATCGGTAATGTGGCAATTTTGCGTTTTTGTTTGGCGTATTTATGTTTGTTTGGGAACATTGGTTAGAAAACTGGGAAATTTAATCTTTTTTTCGACATTGCAAAATTGGGGAATTTAATCTTTTTTTCGAAATTGCAAAATTTGGAATTTTTGTGTTCAAAAATCTTGGAAAGTTTGATCATTTCTGGTTGTTTTTCAGAGTGCTTAGAATTTTTGGAAATTCCAGCATAATTATTTTCCGCGATTATGAAGGAATGACAGAATTTTCCTTGGAAATTCCAGGATATTCATAATCCCCAATCACATAGAAATATTAAAACCTTCCGCACGAGTATTTGTCCAAAAAATTCACCTATCCCATCCACAAACTTCCAAAAATCTCTGCGCAGCACAAAAATGTCATAAAAACACAAAAAAAGAGAATCTGATAGAAGTTTGTAAAAATTTCGCAAACGAGTCCAGAGTCGCGAATTTAAAGAATATGCAACTTCAATTTAAACAGAATTCTCAACAACTCCCCAGAAAAATCCTAAAAAATTCAAAGTACAAAACAGCATCCACCTATTCACGAAAGTCATTACAGTAATGTCTCCACAAGTGTCAGTCCGCAAGGAACCTGAACCTGACATTTGTAGAGTCAGGGACTACGTTTTCGAGCCTTGCGCCCGCCTTTGCAGTTTGCCGAACGTAGACAAGGACAGCGAATAAAAGATAAGGATGAAACGTGAGTCGAGGCAACCAAGCGATTTATATACCAACTTTTTTAATTTTACGTTTTTTAAACCCAAAATTTTTCTTAACATATTGATGAGGTTTTTCTGATGAAAATGACATCAAACACGACATAATTTGAACAACATTTACTTATTAACACGTTCACTGTCACGCCAGACTATTATGAATTGTCGAGCCGTGAAATCTCGTAAAAGAAACCGAGTGGTGGTAGTGTTACACGCTTGACTGACAGCGAGCGAGATAACATAGGCGCAGCAATGACGCAGACCTAGGCGTAGGACCATCTGTACTGACACTTGTAGAATCCAAACTGGCTGACACTTGTAGAGACATTACTGTATTTCAATTCCATAATTTCCCGCGATTACCATCCTCCCCAAAAAGGACAAAACTAGAAAAAAATTCTTTCAGGCTCACAAAGAGGTCGGAATGAGGGTGATCGCCTACTGGTGCGTGCGCGATTCGGAGATCGGTCTTTTATGGCGTGCACACGAGGTTTATATGCTGGTCCTGGTCCTGGTGTTACCCTTAACAGTGATGGCGTTCTGTTACACGGCCATTTGCTGGGAGATTTGGCGAGTCATGAAACGTCGATACCATATGACATCGCATCGCGTGTAAGTTGCCAATTTTTTCTCCTTTTTTTCCTTCTTTATTACGAAAGGATACACCTCAGCCGTCCAGAGATGATCCAGAGCAGGCAGAGATTCAAACCTCGGCTTATCACTCGGGGAGAGATGTGATAGACGAGAGGGAGAAATGCTATTTCATTGACGAAGATTTTCAGTGAAAAAAAAAAATCCTCTCCTTTTTATAAAACGAAACGTGTGTTCGCTGACAGCGCGATTCGTCATCTGCGATCTGACTTAATCCCGGATTTACCGTACTTCGCGTTCAGACCCATCGAAGATTGAAATTCAGATCGGTCGCGTATCCTTTAATGGCGAATTCGAATATTTTCCACGCTTTAGCGGTATCAATGCGGATTTCGCGGTGCAAAGTTTTCGAATTAACGTGGTTTTAAGGGGTGAAACAAATTTCGCACGGGAAATTTGAAGCGTGAACGAAATTTATCGCGGAAAATTTAAAGCGTGTAATAAAAATCTTTATTTTTGTTAAAGCTTTTTCAGACGTTTGTTAAAACAGTAAATCCAAGAATTTTTCATAAATATTAAATATAAACTTTCTTTGGCATAAATTGAGCGAGCTAAAATTTCATATTTAACCCTTTCGAGTAATTTTCTTAAAGAACTTTTTATTTATTCGCTGAAAATCGAGTATTCAAGGGTTTAATATTTAGTATCGAATAGCTTATTTTTAACGTCACTTAAAGTAGCGAATCCCAGAACATTCCGTAAGAATTGAACATGAATTTCCTTCGGTACAAATTGAGCGAGTTAAAATTTCATATTTAACCCTTTCGAATAATTTTTTTAAAGAACTTTTTATCCACTCGTTAAAAATTGAGACCAATTTTTGTTCGAGTATTAAATCGCGTCGACGAATTTAACCAACTACAGCAAGAAGCATAATCATTGGACCGTAAAACTCCAGGTAGGTCATAATCAAAATTATCTCATATTATTCCATGTTAATTTAAATCACCCTAAATTATCCTGCATATTTAAATTATAATTTTACATTAGATTTTCTACATACACTTCTTTCCAACACTCCTCTCCACATTTCACTGTCATTTCAAATTTAACCAGCGTTATTTACCCAAAAGACGAAAAAGTCAATTTTACGACTCACCCATAATTCAGGTCCTCGATATTTTTCGAGCGATTACTGTCGCAGCTTGCACAGTTGCAAAGGACACGGAATCGATTTCGAGAAATAAATACTCCTGTAATTACCAATTCCATAAAACGCGCTGCAAATATTTATCGGTAAACAATCGCGACGTTATTAAAACCATGAATTCTTTCGCAATTCTTTAACGTCTATAAAAATCCGTAAAATTCTGTGCAAAATTTATCTGCAAGATTGAAGCTAGAAAAATAATCTCTTAATTTATTCTTACTTAAAATCGTGTCTTATTTATTTTCGCGTGATTCTGGGATGATAGAAGTCTCTAGAGAGAGAGTCGGTTGCTGGATAAACGAGCCTGAGAACTTGTGTACAGTGTGCATAGGTTACAGTAGTCAGAATTTCCTTTCGCAGCGAAACTGCTTTTTCGTGGAAAAGTGGGGAAATCTTCCTCCGGGAAAATCCAGGCAAACCTATCGATGCTTGAAATATATCCGACTTGTAGGATCAACGTTGCAGATGATAGAGCAGCTTTGACTTCCTCGTTCACCTTTGAGGAAGCAAAGTGCCTTTTTCTGACTGTGATACACACTTTTTACAGAAATTCTTCTCCTCTGAAAAAATGATCTTATTTCAACTTTCAAGCGAGAGCAGTTTAACTTACTTTTTGCTACTCGACAATTTATCGTTTTGTAAGGGTTGTTTGTTGAGAAAGATGCTTCTATTTTAGATTTTTGTGTAAATAAGATAGTCGATAAAGATACTCTTTTACAGAAATTATTGCAGAAAGATAAGGGAGTATACGCTCTTCTTGCTGAATTAATAGAGTCATGTTTTTTTATACGGTTCATGATTTAGTACAGTGCTGGTGTT